GGGGAGTGGATCCCTCTGCTAGGATACCCTGTGGGATGGGTGGGGTGATGGGGGCACAGTCTAGCCTAGAGGAGGCCGGGCCTCTCACCCTGGCACAGAGGTCTGAGCCCACTAGACTCAGTGATTTTGTTTCCACAGTTTCTGTGCATGGTTGAGGATAATTATCCTGAAACACTGAAGCGTCTCTTTGTTATTAAAGGTAAGTTGGGAACTCCGTGTGAGGAAGTCAAATGAGGAAAGAGGGGCCAAAAATGTTCCTGGGACAGATTCAGGAGAATGAAATAGAGTGAGCCAAAGGAGGGAATCTGAGGACCCTTCACATACCCAGACTGTCTTACAATCCACAAAGCTTTTAGGATTTATTGCTGCCTTCGAGCTATCCAGCCAGGTAAGACAGGAAGACTGTACCTACTTGACTATATCCACTGTACAGATGGGGAAGCTGGAAATCAAAGAGGTGCCCATGCTGAGCCTCACACCCTGGGCTGCCTATGTGAGATCCACGGCACTGGGGAACATGTGGCCTGACACAGGGCGTTGTGGGTGACACTGTTAGGGACAGAGTGGGCACTGCTCCCAGTCTCACATTGTCTGGTCTCTGTTCTAGCCCCCAAGCTGTTTCCTGTGGCCTTTAATCTGGTCAAACCCTTCCTGAGTGAGGAAACTCGCAAGAAGATCATGGTCCTGGGGGGTGAGTAGCCCAGACTCTTCTCAACGCCACAGGATGGTGTGTGGCCCAAACTGGGGATGGCTTTAGAATTAGGGCCACAGCCACCAGGGGCAGAAGTTCCCTCTGCTGGTTTGGTAGCAGTGGGACCCAGGAGCAAGCTGGGGCTGGGCTAGGGTCTTCATGTCTGTTTTCATAAGAACTTTCTCTCAGACACTCTAAAAGAAAGTACTGAGCTCAGCATTGTAGATTCAAAGATGACTGAAACACAAGTCCTTGCCACCAAGGAGCTTACAGTGTAGCAGGAGAGAGAAGGCCTTTAGAGAGAAAGCCATGATAAAAACTAGAAAAGGTACTAGAAATGGCCTAGAGAAGGTGCCATGCAGGTCACAGGAGCAGAGCCTGCTTTCAGCTTGGGGCAACTAGGAGTGACTTCATTTGATGAGCACCTACTATGTGCCAGGCCCTGGACAAGGTGCCAAGGGTACAAAGGTGAATTAGACCACGTTCTGTGAAGAGCTCTAGTTCTCTTGGGGAAGGGAGACGCCAAGCCCACCCGATCTAGGGAGGAGGTGAGGCCTACCTCAGCCAAGTGCTGTGGAATGAGTACGAGTGGCCAGGTGGAGCAAGGCAGCAAGCCGTTGGGCAGAAGGAACAGCACCGAGCAAAGACCTTATGCACCGTGGCACAGGCGGCTGCCAAGCGCACGGCAGGGTGTGGCAGGAGACGAGGCCGGAGCGGGAGCCAGGAGCAGGTCACAGAGCATCCAGGGCACCACGCTGCGAGGCTGGGGCATGACTCTGCAGGCCACTGGCAAGCAGAGGTGAGTTCTGAGCAGGGGAGTACCAGGATCAGATTTTAAATTGAGACACATTTCATTGGCGAGATGCTGAAGGACAGATACCCGTTTGCCCCGTGGCCATAACCCATGCAGCTGGTGTTGCAAGCCTGTTCCGGGGCAGTGGAGAGGAGAGGAGAGGATGGGTTTAGGACTTACTTAGGAAGTAAAACAGAAGGACTCGGATGGTTGGATGTAGGAAAGGAGGAACAGAGATCTAGAACGACTTCCTCGTGTCTGGCACGAGGGGCTGAGTGTTGCAGTCGCTCTGACGCTGTTAGTTCAGTGGAGGAATTCAAGGGAAAGAACCATCTGGAAGCCGAGTTTGAAGCGCGTGAGACGTACAGACATTGGGGATACTTTGAGCCTGAAGCTTAGGTGAGAACTCCAGCCTGGGGATTTGGGAGCTGTCAAGCGTAGGCAGCAGCTAAGGCCTTGAGAATAGGTAAGACCACCCCCAGGAGAAGAGGGGCTGAGCCCCGGGGGATATCCAAGCGCCAGGGCAGGCAGGGGAAGACGCGCCCGCCAGGGAGATTGAGATGTGACTGAGGCGGCCGACAGAGAAGCAGTGGGCAGGGACGGTGTCAGGGCACAGGGCAAGGCAGTGAGGAAGACGCACAGGAGTCAGGCCAGCCAGGGCCAGCCAGGGGTCAGTGTTGCTGGAGCATTAAGCGGAGCGCTGGGGGAAAAGGCCAGGAAGGTGGGTTGCGACCCGGTAGATTATGGAGGACTGGAGGCCACCTCTGCAGTTGAACTTGGGGGCAGGTAATAGGGATTCTGGAGGTTTCTGAATGTTCACCTTTTCCGTATGTGTGCTGGTGAGTCCTAGGAGTAAAGTGAGACGGTCTGGAAAGTCCAGGACTTGTGGGTTCTCCCTCTGGCTCTGGCAGCAACAAGTTCTGCTTCTTGTTGCCTCGGTAACTCTCTCTGTAAGATGGGAAGAATCCCCCTGGCCTTATTCCAGCTCTCCAGCTGATCTGGGGGAAGAAATACAAAAATCCCAGCGAAGGCTCTGGTGGTTTTGGCGTCTCTGCTGCTCCCACCCACCATGAACATGAGACAGGTTTCCTGGCAGCGGAGCTGCAGAGGAGGTTCAGTCTGTTCTCCGGCCCACACCTGAAATCCTTTCGCCCAGGCCCGCCTCGGGCTGAGAAGCATCTTCAACAGAGAAAGGAAGAAATTCACTCCGGGCTGGCCGCTGGAGCTTAGCACAGATTAAATCACCCCGTGACCACCGACACTGTGTTCCGGGAGCTGCATGGACTCGGGTCCCTGAAATCTGAGGGCTGGGAGACCCTGGACAGTCTCTGTGGGTTTCCGGCCAGCACCGGGGGCAGAGTACACTGGGCTGTACCCCATGACTTCGAGCTGCTGCCTTTATATGGTTTCCAGCAGCATCATGGAAAAGTTTCCACTATCAAAATATTGTACTTGACTGACATTTGTTGAGGAATTTGGAAGGATGAAGCGGTTCAGAGCATTGGTTGCACTAGAGTCACACTCTCTTAGTCCGGAAAGGGCTTGGTTACCAAAAAAAGGAACAGATGTGAAATCGTGTCTGGGTGTAAAGCCAAGGGAACCCACTTTAAGGGGTCACTCTACAGTGATGCGGTCATTTAGTCACAATTGAGCACCATTATGTGTAGGAAAAGTGGGGGCAAGATACATGTTGTGCCTCCGCATGCTGTTCCCCTTTGCAGGGAATGCCCTTCCCTCCTTGCTTTCTTCCCTCCTGCTTGCACTCAAATGTATCACCTTCCTGGGAGTGCTAATACACTCTCCCACATGTAGGGCACTTTACAGTTTACAATACCCTCTCGGGTGCTTAGGTCACTTCACTCCCATAACCTGGCCAGAGGCAGAGGCAATGGGGACAGATTGCAGGTCTTCTGACTCCAGGGCAGTTCTCCGGGCGACGGATGCCCCTGACCCCTGCAGTGCTCTGTGCACAGCAACTGCTCCTAATGCCTCTGTTCGGGGGGGAGGGGGGGGAGCAGATGGAGTTTTTTTTCCTACCTCTTTTGTGTAGCCTCCCGGGGCTGTGATGAAATCTTGCCTAGTGGTGACCCTTCTTTCTCCTTCCTTACCTCTCCTGCCAGCAAACTGGAAGGAGGTTTTACTGAAATATATCAGCCCTGACCAGGTGCCAGTGGAGTATGGGGGCACCATGACCGACCCCGATGGAAACCCCAAGTGCAAATCCAAGGTATGGGCCCCAGGGGCTGGAGGGGACCGGGAAGCCTGCCTCCAAGGCACACTCCAGCTCGCTCCATGTTCTGCTTCCAGATTAACTATGGGGGCGACATCCCCAAGAAGTATTACGTGCGAGACCAGGTGAAACAGCAGTACGAGCACACTGTGCAGATTTCCCGGGGCTCCTCCCACCAAGTGGAGTATGAGATTCTCTTCCCCGGCTGCGTCCTCAGGTGGGGTTCTGCACCCTTCCAGGAGGCCTGAGCCCTTTAGCCGTAGGCGCCAGTGGACGGCCTGCGGTGGGAGAGGCCTGGTGGCAGGAACCAGAATTTCCTAATCATGTCTGAATGGGAACGGATGTCCCCTTTAGGTGGCAGTTCACGTCGGAAGGCGCGGACATAGGTTTTGGAATTTTCCTGAAGACCAAGATGGGGGAGCGGCAGAAGGCAGGAGAGATGACACAGGTGCTGCCCAACCAGAGGTACAATGCTCACCTGGTGCCTGAGGATGGGACCCTCACCTGCAGCAATCCTGGCATCTGTAAGTACCTGTCTTGGCTTGAATCTCCTTCCCTAGATGTCTGCCAGTGAGGTCCCTCTTTCTCCAGAAACTTATGCTCTCAGCACTGTTAGAACTACAAGTGGTACCTCATCAGTTCAACCCTCTCCTTGCACAAGTGAGGAAACTTAGACTTGGGGAGCTGAAATGATTGTTTAAGGTGACCCAGCTGGTTAATAGCAGGGTGGGACTCTGGCCTGATCCTACCAGTTAGAGGTGAATCACAGTGCTAGGTGATCACAAGGGATTGTCTACTCTCTGGTCCAGGTCTAACTGGGTTTGTGACTATGATCGGACGTCAGGTGGGAATTTTTCCACACACATCAGAGAGGCAGAACTGGCTGGCTGGGTGTGGGGATTACTGGGTGAGCAGGGTCTGGAAAAGCCCAACCTTGACCCCTCTGAGCTTTACTCATCTCCAGGTTGGTTAAAAAAAAAAAGGGGCACAGAATGTGAACAGGAATTTTAATCCAAGGGGAATAAGAATGGTAGACGGGCATTTGAAAAGGTGTTTAACCTCACTCAACTGTGCAATATCAATTAAAACTCCCTTTGACTCAGCAATTTGACTTCTGGAAATTTAGCCTACAGAAATATTTACGCAAAGATGCAAAGACATAGGATGCTCCTAGCAGCCTGGAAACTGGCAATAAATTAAATGAGCCTTAATAAGGTCTCGTTAAATAATGGTCCAACCATACAATGGAGTACAATATACCCATTAATGAGAATAAGTTGACATGTAAGATGTTTGATTCATGTTAAAAAAAAAAAATAAAGTATGAAACATAACATATATGGTATACACTCACTTTGGTTAATAAGAAATGTGTACATAGAAAATTCTGGGGAATCTATGCTAACTCTCATGGCAGTTATCTCTGGGCTGGTAGGAGGCTTACAGAGAGCTTTCATTTTTACACTACAGAGGTCCTCAAATAACGTCAATGGTTTCATTACAATGTTGGTAAGAAAAACATGATTCCCAGCCGGGACGACTATGGAGTTTCCATGTTCTCCCCATGTCTATGGGGACTCCGTTTTTTCCCACATTTCAAAGATGTACACATAAGGTGAGTCACTGGTGTGCAACTCTCCCAGTATGATGTATGTGAACATGCCCTTCATTGGAATGGCACCCTGTCCAGTGTTGGTTCATGCCGTGCACCCTGAGCTGGGGCAGAGGCTCTGGCCTCTAGTGACGCTGAACTGAAATAAGCTGGTTGGAAAATCACTCTCTTACTTGTTTTTATTAATCTTTCTTAAGTGTATGCATAGCTCAAATTTTTTTCAGTATTTAATATTAGAAGTGTTTTGAGTATTTATTTAGAATTTTGGTGATGTTTTTGTGACCAGAAATAGGCCATATCAATTAGCCTATGGTAAAATTGGTTTCATTATACATTGTTTCACTTACTGTCAGAGCCAAGGGGCTAGGCGTGGAAAACTAATAACAGCAAGTGGTTCAGCCTTCCTAGGCTTCAGTTTCCCCGATTGCTACAATGGGACCAAATTCTCTACCTCAGAGAGACATGTGATAAGGTCTTTGTAGCACTTAGTATATAATGCCTGGAATACAGCAAGTGCTCAACACACTTTAGCCGCCACAACTGTTACTAGGGCAAGACCTGGGGGGAAAGGGCCATCCTGGAGATAGTCCTGGAGGTGGGAGAACCCCTGTGCCCCTTTCTATAGAGCACCAACCAGGAGATCTGCACTAGTCCTACAGATATCTTGGCCTCTGTGCTTGTGTACACCATCACCCCAACCTCGAGATTCTATGTCCTCTCCCACATCCAGACAACTTTCAGTCTCTACCACCACCTCCTCACAGATGCTCTGTGGTATGGCTCCCCGGGGAGGAGAAGTATTCTTGTTAGTGAGCAGCCAGGTCCTGGGGGAGAAGCGTATACTGTGTGCTTTAGCAAGAACAAGGCTTAGCACCAGCCCAGATACTGTCATCCACAGAGCATAAATCATTTTGTACATATAAGCTGAATTCCTTAATGGACAGGGAAGCTGAAGGAGAGAGGAGGTATGTTCTCTCTTACACAAAGTAGCTTGCGTAGACACCAAACGACAGAAGACACCAGAGACTCCTAGGATTCTGGTCCAGGGTCTCTTGGCAGTAGACTGTCCTAGAGATGAACAGGTCCACCCCTGATGCGAAAGAGGAGAGAGTGGAGGCCCAAGCCAGGGAAGTCATTTACTCAAGATCACATAGCTAGTAGCAGAGCCCAACCCATTTTGCAGCATTGCCCCTCACCCTTCTACAGGATCTAAAGGACATAGCCTGAGAAAGGACCATGAAGCTTTTAACTAAATCAGGTTTAGGTCTGCAAATCCCTAAATTTATTTTAGCTCCTCTTGGATACATTCCTGGATGGAACATTGATCTGCCTGCAGGGCCTTGAGTGGGAACTGCTTGTTGTCCAGTCCCAGGAAGAGGAGTGGCAGGCCACAGTGTCCATGCCCCCTTCCCAGGTGTAAAGACAATGAGGTGGGATCAGCTGCTGTCTGGGGCCATGGCTCAGGTTAGACCTGCGCCCAGAGAGAACCTAGTGTTAGGTTACAAGCTGAGCTGGGGTGGGGGTGGGGGGCGCAAAGTCCCTGGAGAACCAGGCAACCCCCTGCAAAGTGGAGCAACGAAAACTCTGTGCCTGCCTCCAATGTCAAGAGCACATTAACTCTCCCCAGGCTGCTCTTGTCCTTGACTAAATGTCCTCAATTCCTGAGGAGGAGAAACCAAGTCTAAATTGATTTAATTTTTTCTTCTCTCAACTAATATTTCCTGAGGGCCTGAGTGTAGAATACTCTACTAGGAAAGAAAAAGATTCAGAAAAAGATCTGGACTTTGTCTGCCAGGAGTGGAGAATATGCTCTAGGAGACCTGAAACCAAATGAAGGTGAAACAATACTGCCACCCACTGTTGGGGTGAAGAGAGCCCAGGTGGGCATCAGGAGGCCTGGTTTCTGAGTCCAGCTTTGCCCTTAGCTCTCCAGGTGTTTTGCACAAGTCTCTCTAAATAATTAAGTTTTCCTTTCCTCCTTAAAATGAGGGGAGTGGGCTAGAGCAAGAGATCTTAATCTAGGGTTCAGGGACTCCCCAGAGCAGTAATTATAAATCTTAAAGACCAAACACCTCCCCCTTTATAACAAATAGTGTCTAATATCCTCTTTGTTACTCTGAAATATAATAACTCACACAGATAATTAAAATATCAATATAACCTCGCATTTGGAGAAGTAAAAGGCAGCTAATTTAGAATATATATTTTGTTTCAGTACATAAATGAGAAGGCATGATTGTAGTCATTCCCCTGGGGAACCACTGCCCTAGAGGGTCCATGATGGGCCCCAGGGGATCTGAGATGGTGTGTAAATTTCATCTGATGATGAAAGCATCAGGTTCTCAAGGGGATCAATTTCCCAACAAAAGTTACAGAGCCAGAGCCTGGAGGATCTCTGGGGGCTGTAAAGAGTCCGTGACTACATGATTAGTGTCAAAATGAACCATGCAATTCATAAACTCCGCTTCCCTCGGGCCTTACCCTTAGAACAGCCCCTTCCTTGTTTCTGAGGGTAGAATATCATACTAGGCAGAGCCATCTCAATTGTGCTTGGTCCAAGGAGCTTGAAGACTTCTCTAGCACAGTGACTGGTTGCTAAGGCTTTGTCGTCCAGGGCAGAGAGGAAACTTCCCTCTTTCCAGAGGGACTACAGGTCCTGAAAGACCTCTGGCATAGCTAGGAAATCAATGACTAATATTCACTTCACACCATGAAGGAAGGAAGGGTGATGCATCTACCCTCAGTCTAAACTACGCATTCCGTCTAGGGACAGGAAAGGGGAAAGGCCAAGTCTCAAGATTAAATACAGTTTGCTTATTTGTTTGTTTGTTTGTTTTGCTGGGGAAAGTGAGAGAAAACCAGGATAGGGAAGGGGAAGAGCTAGTTTTTTGTTTTTACACTCGGTTCTCCTGAAGGGGTATTTGACTGAAATGGAACCACCTCTCAAAAAAAAGAAAACCCAAAAGGTTAAATTAAAAGCAGCCTGCCCATTTTCTGTCCCCAGAGGAAACCACTCCTAACAGGTCTTTTCTACTATCTTATCAAGTATCTGCTATCTCTTTAGAAGCATTACACATTGCTATACTGCACAGGACATGTATCACACGTATACATTCACAAGAATTATATCTGTCATTCAATGTATGTTTGAAGGAATTTTGAAACTGTAAAACTTGTCACAGTATTTGAGAAAACTTCCCTTTCAGATAAGATCGGGCATATCCAGGGTGGTATGGCCATACTTGAAAACTTTCTTTTTAGAACAAGCACCTGAGTAGTATCATTAAAGAGAACTTGGGAGTGTAAGTACACAAAGTAGCAAAGCCAAAAATTTTTACATTTATATTAACAAAAGTGCTTCCAACTGTTTATAATTATGTTCTGCAACTTGCTTTTTGGCCAAAGGATACATTGAGGACGATTTCCCCAGTCACTTCTGAAGCTAACCTCTTTCTTTTAATATGAGAACAGTATTTCATCATATGGATTGCAATATAACCTTTTTAAGCAATTCTCCTTTGAACATTCGCGTTTTCCCAAGCTTTTAGTCTTACAAACAGGGGTGCAATGAGCATCTTTGTTTATATTTCTGTGGGGTAAATTCCTGGTTCAAAAAGTTTGCAGTTTACCTTTTGTCAGAAACTGAACAGGGCAGGGCTTTCCAGGGCCCAAGTCAGGCAGCAATTCAGAGGAGAGGGAAATTCCAGCTCTATCACTTCCTCACTGTGTGACACACTGACCTTCTTTTTTATAGGATGTAAAACAAGACTAATGCTGAGCTCATAGTTATTTTGAGGAATAGGGAAATAACATATATAAGACTACCAGCCCAATGTTGAGACACTTAAATGGCCATTGTTACCATAACTATTATTGTAACAACTGCTGCTATGAATTCTACTCCCCTTTTTCAAGGCCCAGTTCAAGCTACAACTCCTCTAAAAAGCCTTTCACATAATTTCAATTTATAGGGCTCTTTTTCCAAGCTTTACAGATGTGGTTGTCTCTCACATTCATCTGGCACTTGGCATGTTCTATCTTACATATACTTTTTCTCTCCATAAACATCTTGTCAATCCAGCTAGACTCATTTGCAGAAGGTGAAGGACCGTTGCTTATATTACCTTCATCTTCATTACCTACCACACACATTGCCTTGCTCAGTCAACAAAAATCTCTGTGTCCAAGCCCTTTTTTCAGAATTGCCTGAATGTCTGGTTTTCTGCCTTCAGATGTCCTGCGGTTTGACAACACCTACAGCTTCATTCATGCCAAGAAGGTCAGTTTCACTGTGGAGGTCCTGCTTCCAGACAAAGCTTCAGAAGAGAAGATAAATCAGATGGGGCCTGTCACCCCTAAGTAACGCCTCCTCCCACAGGAGGCCTGGCTCCCTCAGTGTCTCCCTATCAGTTTCTCCCTATCAGTTTCTATCCCTTGTAGCAGTCATTTTTCCAGGACCCTGATGCCCAAAAAAAACTGGGCTAGGAGAAAGACCTCAGCTGAATCTGGGGAGCTTACATTTCAGAATTAGGAAAAGGGAGCATAGCAAGAGTGGGTCTCCTTGCCTTTCAAGTTACTTAGGAGTCCCCAGGGCTGGGCACCATGATAGGATCTGTTTATCCTGCAAACTGTGCCAAAATCACCTACCTGTGACAGCTGAGACACGAAGTGGGTACCATGGGGTGGCAGCAGAGAAGAAATTAGAAAAGGGGAGAGACTGAGTCTTAACATTTCAGTGAAGCCAGCAGCAGGGGAGGAACTTGCAACCAAATGAACGGTGTACGCCTAGATCATAATAAGGAGCAGCAAGGAGTTGCTAGAGTTACGGTGGGGGTCAGAGGCTCTTCTAAAACTTCCTGTCACTGAGGCTGGGATCTTTTGGCTTTTCCCGGGTCCCAGGAGGTGGCCCAGAGTCAGCCTAGATCTTCCCACTCGGGGGTAGATCTTACCCTCACCTTGAGAACTTCAGCAACTCCTGGGTCCCAATGGCTGCTGCTTTAACTACTAATGATTGTTATTGATTCAGAGCTTCTAGGGACAGGGAGCTTTGGTACCCAGCCACTGTCCTCCAATGCAAACAAAGCACAGGGAAATTACCTCCAGGGATCCCAGCTCTGGGAAGGGAAGGGGGCTGGGGGTGGGGATGAGCCCGGAGGTTTCCGCTTCCCTTTTCAGCGTCACCAGCCTCCCATCACCTGAGCACCCGACACAAAAATGTCAAGTGGCATCCAGACAGTGGAACTCAGGGAGGGCCGCCTACCCGCTTCCTGGCTGACCCGGGCGAGGCCTCGGCCGTCCCATCGCCGTGGGAGGCGTCTGGCGGGTGCCGGGGGTTCCCAGCGCCTGGCGGGGACGCCGCCCGGCAGGGGGCCAAAGGCGGGCCCGCGCCG